TTTAGAAACCTGCACTTCAATTTATGCAAGCACCACAGGCTAGTGGTTATACTGTTTTTATGATCTACGTATAAGCTACTATATATGGATTCACTTTTTGTCTATTTCTGTATGTTTAAGAGTGTAGTAAACAATCTAAAAAATTGAAGTATAAAGTATTATTTATTTAAAAATATATCAAAACAATCTAAAAATACAAAAAATAAAAATAAAAATTTCCAAAAACACTCCAAACATTTTCTTCATGTAATTTGGTATCCAAATGGGCCTTGGTGCTTTAGTACATGTCTTTCTGTCAAACCAGGATGGCAACATTTTAGGCTCGGTGCCATGAATCTCATGACCTTGTGATTTTATAGTGAATCTAATCCTCTGAATTAAAGCAGGGATTCAAGAAAACATCATCGAAGCAATGGGAATTCAAGCATGAAATGTTTCAGAAAGGGAGGAGGCACATGCTAGTCGAGATCATTCGGAAAAAATGTGAGCCTAGTATGTTTCCAACATATTTAAAGGCTTCTTCTAATCAAGAGAATGCAACACTTGACATGGAAGAAACTACTTGTTCGATGCTCATGGCGGAGAACAAGAACCTTCGAAGAGAGAAACTTGAACTGCAAATCCAAATAGCACAATTCAAGGCTCTAGAAACTAAGTTATTGGACTGTCTTACTCAATACATGGGAAACCACCAGAACAAAACCAGGAGGCTATGTTAATTTCTGATGAAATTACAAAAAATTAGCAAAGGCCTAGGAGTGCTCTCTCAGCGGGTCTCCTTCCCCAGTGTATTGCTTGGTGTTTAGTTTTACTTTTCCCTAAATATTTGTAATATTGTCTTGATGAGAGAGAGAGATGCCTGTAGTTTTAGTTTTTGAAGTAGGTTTATGCCTTTGTCTAGGTCTCTTGTGTGCGTTTTTTCTTCTACGAATGTTGTTACTGCTATGTTATAACCAGGACAGCTAGGTAGCTCCCCTCGTAATTAAATCGGTCACAACCCATGACTTCTAGTTAGATAGGTGGTTAGCGTTATGTTATATGGTTTTTTTTTTTTTCGATATCTTTTTATCCAACTCAAAAGTCATAACCTGGCTTTGAATTGGGTTATAGATTTATAGTTTCTAGTTAGATAGGTGGTTAGCGTTATGTTATAAGTTGGATCAATATATATATATATATATAGAAGAAGAAGAAGAAAAGACATGTTCGAAAGTCATTATTTTCCGCGGTGACACCATCTTATAATAATAAAAAAAAAGAGTTCATTAAGGTGATTTTTATACCACTATTAAAGGTTGTATGATAATACTGAATTATACCACGCATGTTGTTAAAACAACAATCTAGAAAATAAATTAAATAAAATATTATAAAATAAATATTTCATGTATTTAATTAATTAATTAATTTAATTAAAAAAATTATTGTGAAAAAACTAAATTTAATAAAGAATGATAAATAAAAAAATTCAAGATAATCCAAGTTATTTATAAATTCAATGAAAAATCTTATATAAAAAAAATAAAAAAATTAATATAGCCCAAATCCTTGGCAAATAAATACTAATAAAATTTAAAAAAACATGAGTTTTAAAAAACAAACAAACCTTGACGAATATTTTAAAGTTGAATTAATCTATTAAATTTATAATTAGTGAAATCTTATATCTAAGCTCGATTCATAACTAATTTAATATTAAATGATAAATTTGAGAAAAATATATAAATTTAGAAGCTTTATTAAAATAAAAAAATAACAATTAAAAGAATGATGATCAAATATTATAAGAAAAAATAGAAAGAAGAAGAAATCATAAAAAAATCAATTGTAAAATAATTTCAAATAACAATAAAAAATAAAAACCAAACCCAACCCAAAAAAATTATAAAAGGATAAAATTTAAAAAAAATCTAATTTTATAAATTATATTAAATAAAATAAATATAAATTAAATTAAAAAAATTAAATAACTGTTTTGAAAATTTAAAGTACTAGAATAAAAAATCAAGAAGGGAAAAGAAAAAAAAAATCATTAAATAAGTCACATGAACCAAGGATGCAGGGATACAGAGACGAATCAAACGCCACTTTAAAAACTATTGTTTAATCATCAAATTCTTTATTTCGGGCTGCCTGAATGATAAAGCTACAACTTATACGCTGATACTTATATTATATGCATAAATCACTTTTGTAAATAATATTTATATTTATTAAATTGCTAAATTTGAAAATTGGAGAGCGAAAATCAAGAATAAAAAAGAAAATAAAAGGAAAGCAAAGAATTGAAGATTATTAACATCAAACTGTAGGCTAGTAAGCCATACATGCTGCGGAGAAACCGTTGAGATGATATGAACATCACAGTGATAGCCAACATCTGGCCACCAGACGCATCATGTCATCTATTAATATAACAACTGTTAGACCATTGTGAAAAGATATGTGACCCTCATTGGTTTTCTTTGAAAATATTAAAATGATAATTATACATTTTCAATTTATAGTGTAATTAATCTTGGTCTGGGCCCTATTTTATATATATATTATCCTTAACTAAGCTAATTTGGGTCATGTTTGTTTCTCGGAAAACAGTTCCTGAAAAATTACTTTCTAAATTTTCCTGTGTTTGTCATTAGAAAAGTTGGTCAACAGAAAATATTTTCCGGTTAACAAAAAATACTTTCCAGTCAACGGAAAACACTTTCTGGTCAATGAAAATATTTTTTAGTAAAAAAAAATTTGACTTGATTTTCAGGAAAGTGTTTTCCTTCTTAGCTGTGTTTGTTTTTCAGAAAGTGGTTTCTGGAAAATCACTTTCCAAACTTCCTTATGTTTGTTTGCTGTTAGGAAAGTTGGTAAATGGAAAACACTTTCCAGTCAAAGAAAAATTTGACTTGATTTTCAAGAAAGTGTTTTCCTCAAAAATTTGGGAGGAAAACACTTTCCGCAAGTTGTGAAAAGTTTAGAAATGTCATTATTTGCTGATTATATCAAATTTGATCCTCAAACTTTTGATTGCTATATATATTTTGTTTTGAATATTTATTTTTCAATTTCATTTCTTAAAATTTAATTTTTATATTTACTTTGGTCCTCATTTTTATAATTGTTATTTGCTTTTCTCCTATTA